AGCCTCCGCGGCAGCAAGGCCCCGGCCCCGGCCACGTTCCCACGCTCCGGCTCCTTTTCTCCCCTTCCTGTGTGGTCCCTTAATAACTTCCAAGGGTGCCGGGTGCTGCCGGATCAGGCTCTGAACATCCCCTCGCGCCGGGACTCTGATGTTTTTTTTTTTCCCCTTTGAGGAAACTCCTGCCCCGGGCAGCCGCGGCATCGGCCTGCTGCTCCGCCGCAATCTCGGACCGATACGGATCTCCCCCTCCCTTTGTTCCCCCACTCAGGCTGAGCACCAGAGGAGATGCAAAACCGTCGCTAGCTCATGATTAAGCTCACAGAGCTCATGAGCTAAGGCAGGAAGGTGTGGAGGGGACGAGAGGACAGAGCAGGGCTTTCGAGCTGGTGCGAGGACGCAGCCTAACGGGGACAGCGCCGATAGCGAGACCACGACACGCTCCGGGAAGGGGATTCCTCTTGCACGTCGGCCGTCCCGGGTGCAGTTTGGAGGAGGAAAAAAAACCCGGACAAACAAGAGATGTGTTTCCTGTGCTAGCCAAATCGCAAAACTTGCTGAAAGGCGGTGCCCGACTCTGCAGCAGACGGCAGCGGGAAGGGTTTCTGAGTTCAGGGTCTTTAACACCGACCTGGAGCTTTTTCTACTGAAAAATTACCCTAACAAAAGCTGGCAGGACTGTCCCCTCACATGCATTCGAGGAGGGACGGTTATTCAGGTTTTCTACATGTAATTAGACCACAGTTTTTTGGGCAGGGACTGACCCTCGCAGGTAGGAGGGTGAACCCCTCCCAAGAGTGGGCAGGAGGGGAAGGGAAAAATAGAGAGATCCGTCAACTCATTTAAAATGAGAAAAAACACACCTTCCTTTCTCAAACCAAAGCCCCCAGTTGCCGGCAGAAAGCAAGGTTTCTGTGTGTTAGAGCATTAACTCTGGCCAGAACTCTACTACAAGCTGAGCTTTTAAAAGGGAGCTAAATGTTGAGCCAGACTCCGCAGCAGGGAGAATCTAGGCCAGGCCTCCGCCGTGTAAATGCACCCCTGGACGTTTCGCGCCTCATACAGCACCGTGCTAATTGCCAAAAGGTGCAAGTCTATGCATCGGTTTTTCCTTCCACTCCTCCAGCTTACAGGAGCCCACGAGCCCATCCAAGCACCAGGTGCCCCGCTGCCTCGGCGCGCGGACAGCCAAACCTGCAGGACGCGGCCCGGAGGCCCGCGGAGGTGCTAGCGCAGGCGGCGCTCGCAGGACCAGGACTGCTCCGTCCTCGCAGCCCCTTCCCCACCGAGCGCAGGGCAACTCCGAGCACTGGCTGCCTCGAGCTCAGGTGACAAACACGCTGCTGAACGCCAGGGCTGGGGTTTACAGAAATAACTTCATTTCTGCACTGCAGCAGCAATGAGCGTATTCAATGAGGTTCCCATCTACTACCTGAGCCCCTAAGCCGTGATTTACCGTCTTCTAGGCCTACCAAATCTTTTGTTTTTCCCTAGGAACTTTAGAAGTCCTATTGAACAGCCCCATGCAGCCTGAAGCGAGAACGAGCAAGATGTGTTTGCATAGCATGCCGAGTGCTTACCAAACAGACTTCATTAGTTAGCAAAACAGAAGGGTCAAACATAACACTTTTGTATAAATATTTAAGGGTAAGTTGTTACTTTGGATTTATTTTTTCCTACCTTCACTTAAATCCTTCCCGGTGAAAGAGGTCAAGGGAGGGTCTGGGGATGCGGACGGGACTCGAGCAGCTCCTGGGCCCTTTCGGCGGGGCTCAGCCCCTCCCTCCTCCGAAAGCCTTCAAGGACCAGACTTCAAGGAGTTGCTCTTTTCCCTCCAATCTCGGACCCAGCGGGAAGAACATCGGGAAGAACATCTGACAGCAAACGCGTTGAGTGCTTTCCTACTTTTAAGTGCAACTTAAAAGCAAGGCTGTATTACTGCAAAAAGGGAACAGAAAGAAAAGCTGGTTTGCTTTTCAGAAGCAGGAGCTGGCTGCAGTAAGGGCTGCAGATAAGAGTTTGCAAGCTCGGTTAGCTTTACGTCGCCGCGAAAGGAGAGCGGCCGCCTCTTCGTGCACCTTGTCTCTGCCCGGCGGAGTTTACAGCCTGCTCAAA